AACATAGTTGAATATTCTCTATTATTACTGCGAAAGTTGTTCAATTAGCAATATAAAAATTGAATGGAGTAAGATGCCCTTCACACTATAATTTTATATTTCACAGTGAGCCCACGTACTATACTAGAACGTAAGAGTATGTATTTTTATTAGTGTATATCGCTGAGAGGTCATTTTTCTCAGTGAACCAGGTTGTCTATCACTCAAATTCTTCGGGTCGGAGTTGGGACGCCGAACATCAAAGGATCCGACGTTAATGTCGCTTCATGTTGTAGGTATTCTCGGGCTGTGCCGTGCCGGGCTAGTGGACGGTGGTCCATTCATTTTCAGTGTTCCAATCATATCCGTATTTTGACAGGGCGGCCTATGCTATTATGTGCCGGACAAGTGAGCGACAAGCTTAACACACACATGAATTGATTCCTTTTGAAACGTTGTAAGTTCAATTTGAACCGTTTCATATTGTAACTCAATATAATCAATATACTTGCTTTTTATAAACCAGGAAGGACCTCATATATGAATTTCAAATGAACATGAACATGACCTCAAACTTGGATATACATATACTACATGGGATGAAAAGTCTCGGGCCTAACACATATATGGCGCTAGTCTTATTACATTCACCACTTTTTCAGAAAGCTGTTAAAATTCCATGACATTCTACTAATAAGTTTGTCAGTTATTGTGCTAAGAGTGACACTGATTTTGATTATTTCAAAACAATGGATCAAAAACAATTTTGTGTTTTAAATACCGTTCAAGCGAAGCAATTGCTTGAAAGGTGTCATAAGGACTCCGCTCCATCAGAAACAATAATTAAACGTTGGTTTGCTGACTTCAAAAGTGGTCGTAGAGCACCGAAGATGCAGAACGCAGTGGACGTCCAAATAAGGCAACACCAGAAAACATGAAAGAAATCCACAAAATCGTTTTGAATGATCGAAAAGTTGAGTTGCGTAAGTTAGCTGATATTATAAAGATATAAAAAGAACGTGTTGGCTTTATATTGCATGAGCAACTTGTTAACTCCGTCCAAAGCGCCTGAAAGCACAACAGTCGGCTGGAAAAGTTATGGCCTTGGTATTTTGGGATGTTCGTGGTGAAATATTCATCGACTATCTTTAGAAGGGAAATACCATCAACAGTGAATATTATATAGCGTTATTGGAGAGTTTGAAGGCCGAATTTGCGTAAAAAAGTCCCCATTCAAAATAAAAAAAGAAAGTGCTGCTTCATCAAGACAAAAATGCACAGTGTCACAAATCAATGAAAACGATGGCAACATTGCATGAAATGGGCTTCGAATTGCTCCCGCATATACCATATCCGGCAGATTTGGCTCCCAACGACTACTGGCTGTTCGAAAGAATCAATGCACAAAGTAATGAAAACGGAACGACGTGGCTACTCAACATTAATATTTTGCTTTCATTTATGGAAATCAAATTATCGTATAAAATTCGTCGGCACTCTATTAATTATTATGTTAAAACATATTTTATATTTAATTTTTCTCCATCTGGCAATTTTAATATTCCAGTATGCGGAATTTCAGACAGAGCCATTCGCAGTTTGAGGGTGAAATTTATAATTAGGTACGAACTGAAATTTCTCACTGCGAAATATGAAATACCCACTACTTTGCAGTATAAATGAAATAAATTCGTATAAACTTTTCAATTAATAGCAAGTAAACAATGTAAATTTTCAAATGACGTAATACGTCATCAATTGCTGAATTTGGGCTCCGTCATACGTTGTAGATGTACTGCTCATACTGAAGAGTATGAGCAGTACATAGAGTATATAGAAGAGAATAATCCTTCATAAAAGTATATGTTTGATCACTTATTTTATTGACGTTGTGTGTGTAATTTTTCATTGCCTCAAATGTACCAGTACAAAAAGCTGCCGGATGTGGAATTTTGTGTTGTTTAAAGAAAAAAAGGTCCTTGAAACGTTTCACACCATACTAACGTTACTATTGAATATACCTGTAGAGGCTATTGAATGAAAGTCTCACAATAAAGTGTTATTTAAATACGCTGGTAAAACTTTGTCTAGGTTGCACTCACCGATTATGACAAAAATTGTTTGTACTTCCGTATTTTGACGTGTAGATTACGAATCCGAAAAAAAACCGGTCTGCTCCGTTAATTTTTCAGTTACACGCTTCCAAAGTTTCGAAATTTTCTGCCTTCTTTTTGCACTGTAGAAACTATAGAATCACCGCATCCCTCACAACTTATTTCACTTTTAAGTTTTATCAACATTTTTCCTGGTGGCATGTCTATATTGTAAGTTTATATATAAGTGACATTTCGAAAAAAGCAGTTCCCTAATCAATATAGTTTTTAAGAGAAAAAAGGTTCATTATTGAATTGAAGTGTCAGAGAAGGTGAAATAGGATGATAAAGTCAATACATACTTGTGTTTTTCTATAGTTTGTATTATGCAAAAAGAAAGCTGTTTTGAAACAAGTTGTATATCCCTATATCTACATTGTTCACCTACATACCCAGATTGTGTACATGATAAATCATTCCTTAGGTATAGAGAGAATCTCTATACCTGATTTCATATATTCATATGTTAAATTAGTCTACTGCAATCCTCCTCAATTTCATAGGCTAGGTTGGGTTGTAAGTTAGGATAGTTTTTAATAATAAAATTTTTACAAATTTTCAGTTGACAAGTGTACTTTTTTATTCAACTTTGTAGACTANTTTAACTGATGTGGCAGCAGTTCGAACTACAAGCACTGAGCTCCGCCAAAGGTACATTTTTCAGTCCTGTTATGTTTTCACTGCATTCTGTATACCTATAACAAATACTCTATCACCGGTTCTCTATGAAAATTAATAGACTCAGGTTTGTTCAACCCCAAATTCGAAAAAATATCAGTCCACTAGTACGGAGAACAAACGTACATTTTACCAAGTTGACATGACTGGAAAATTAACGAAGTCCTAAAAAAATGTCAAATCACTTGAAAGAATTGTGTAGAAGCCAACGTTGGTTGCAACTCACTAGAAATATTAACGGTTAGGGGTGGAGCCTCTAGAAGGTGGGAGTGCAAGGCCTCTCTTTTAGTTTTTTCTGCAAGTAACAAAAAAACTTTGGCATGTAGCGTTTTCATACGATTTCTACGGCTAGAATCTAAGTTGTGAAAATGTTTGAAATACGTAGGGTTTCGTAAGTCAAACTGGAGGTACATTTAATGCACGCATAAAAGAACTTGAACATAGTTTCCATTATGGCCAAATCAAACTAAGCAGTATATTGCCTACGTGCGAGGATATAATGGTTATAGGTGTACAGTGATTTTCGATGGTTACAGATTACACTCGATAACACAGAACAGGCAGAGCAGAAGAGAGCTCACCAAAACTTCCGTGGACGTCAACTTTCTCCTGGGCAAGACGTCACAGTTCAGCAGAAACATTTTATCGCAAATTAAAGAATTGAAATCAGACTTCCTTATTGAACAACGATGGACGCATAGATGAAAAACTTCACTACTACTTGTGCATCAAACCCTAACTGTATGTGATAGTACTTCTGCTTGTATTTGCACCACCAGACTGCCAAAACATCTTCTTCATGAATCCAGGCTGAGGGCCAAAATGCATAATAACATGCCGCTTACCTAGCATTTCAAATAAAAAATGATGGTGATTTTAATACTTTCTTACAGATATTCTAGTAGCTGCTAAGTATTTTTTATTCTATTATCTCAATCAAGAAGTTTCACCTTTTTTCAATTTGAAATAAATTGTTCCAACCTTTTTCCATTTTTCTTCTTCCATATCTCCTTGATGAGTATTGATAATATCAAAAAAGTGCGAAGCACGCGTTGCTCACAATTTCGTGTAAATTAATCTACTGTGTGGACATTTTTTCGCTAGACGTTAGAGTTTAAGAGTCATTTACGAAAAATTCATAAAAACGAGGCGATAACCCTCCCCAAAGTCCCATCCCCAACCTTCAGTACTTTCAGTATGTTGCTCAGGGCACTACTTTCTGAAGTTGAATCAATTTTAAATTCAAAAAGTGATTCTTTAAGTGATTTGACATTCGTTGACTGGACAAATGTGCTCATGCGAAGGCGAATGCTTGTGTTCGAGCTCAGCTCTACAATCTAAAAATGTCTTCGATGTCGCGAGTTTTTACGAGCGTCATTCTTGAACGCATCAAAATGGTTGATGGGGGTAGCTTGGTCGAAACCCTCGTTAATGTGATTTCAGGCTATTTGTTTTCAGTTGATTCAGTGGAGGTCTAATCTTTGAACCGCATTCACTTAAAAAATATGTCATTATTGTTCAATAAAAAATTAGGTAGATGAAGGGACAGTTTGGCGAAAAAGTTACTTTTTTTTGAGTTCTGCTCCATCAAGTTTCAAAATCATTCAAACGAGTTCAAGAATTAGATCTCTTGATAGTGATAACGTACTCATTCACTCTACTCAATTGTCCAAGATATATAGATGATTTCAATTCAACCTCGAGCTGAAACAAGATGTGAACAGCGGAAAAGTTGTAGAATTTCAGCAGAAGCAGAATCATTGTTAATCAACTTGAAACTAATGTATCTCTGGGCGACAATTTTTGGTAATTTTCTTGAAATAACTTAGTATATTAAGAAGTTGGTTGAATCTCGTTTCCGTTAAATCCCTCAGTGCCCTTAATTGAAATGTTATAGACGTGTTTTTGTGTTTTTATCCACACATATAAATGATATGATTTCTGAGTTCTTATCGAATCCAGATTATTCCAATTTTAGAGTGTTCGATGTTCTGTTTACTTGATAGTCTGCTAATAGATAACAATTGGAATCATCTCATACAATTTGGACAATCTTGTAGGAACAATAAGTAATAAGTACATCAATTCTATTATTGGCATTGGATAATCTAGACGCTTTTTCTCAACGATGAACGATATCGTCTCTACAATGTTTCCGTGTGCACACGGTTTTCATTCGATTGTCACTCGACGATACTAATAACAAATGAAAATTAATTATTTTGGGTACACCCGCGACCGATACGAGTGTTTAACAACACCAGACGTCATCGATGATTTCACAGAATTTTCAAAATGTTCAAAGCGAATTGGCCTCGTTCCAAAATCAAAATAATGGTGGTTTCCAAGTTTATAGCAACTGAATTTTTGAAGTAACGTATGAAACCTTAGTTGCATTCTGAGCCCTTTGCAAATTCGCAGAAATCCTCGATTTCGAAAATTACAATTCACTTATCAGTCACCACACTTGAGTCACTTTTTAAACGTCCTCGTAGGCCATTTTGTGGAAGCCACATGATTTTTTAGCCAGGGATTGGAACTTTTTATTTACCGCGATATATTTCTATTATTCTGTCCTGATCCACGTACTCAAAGATATGAGGAGCATCCATCAGAATACCGACGGTACCAGCAGTAGTTACAATAAAAAACACGTACAGCTGGAGCCTATCGATCACCATTGCCACGTACTTCCAGTCTTCACGGGTCTGGAAAGAAAATTTGTGATTTTAACAAATTATTTCGATATCACTTCCAACAGAAAACTTTCTTTCAATAAGGATCGTTAAGAATTGAATCAAACATGAAATTATCGACAAGTTGTCATGAGTTCCTGAACATTTAGACTTCAAGGAACTTCCAGAACACTTTATATTGATATACATAATCATTCGATAATTTACAGACAAAACGAGTTTTACACGAGAAATATTTTCTATCAAAATATTCGGCTACGTTTATAACACTACTGTCTCACCTGTATGTATAAGTCTTCGTTGCGCAAGTGTTCTGCAATGAATTCTACCGCTTCCGTAGCTTTGGATGCTTCCGGTGATAATAAAATGGAATCCGAGCTTTCACTTTCTCTCCTACAACTATCACCGCCAACTCCTACCCCCAAATCGGAGTTAGGTTTTCTGTTGATTTTACAGTTGGGGTGATGATGTAAATCCGAGAGTTCCATCACCTCTACTTTACTTTGAGATTCGATGGAACTGAAAAATATGCTTAATATGAAATATGAATAATATTAGAAGGTGTGTATCCATATGTCCCAATACCCGGTAACGCAACATCGAACATGTTGGGCTCATTGCGAGATGACACGGTTCGCTATGGAATCATTTTGAGTTTTGACGGTATCAATTATTCTACGGTTACGTTACGACGTAACCACACAAGGTAGGAACAACGCCGCATGTAACGAAATGAACGATTCATATAATTAACTCGTGTCGACTTGTCGACCAGCGTAACGTAACAGTCCTTTGATGGAGAGGCAAAATCAGGTGAGTATTTCGGAATTTGAGATACACAGCTATAGCCTCTTATGTACTTCCTACATATGATTGGGTGAATACTACTATTACAATCCAAAGTCAGAGGTAACAAAAATCGATTTTTTGCACATTCTTTGCAAACATCTGGTTTCCTATGGGTTTTTCGTTATTTGTATTCGTTACCAATATTGTAGAGAACTGAAGTCTTCAAGACTTGTGTGTTGAAAATTAAAGTCACATATTTTACATTTCAAATAGTTTAACCAAATTCGTGTTATTATCAATTGTCTTTTCACCAATTCTACGTATAGAAACGTTGCAGGTTCATTAAACTCACCATAACTATACCTCGAGCTAATTATGTATGACTGCAACCTTTTCAGTACATTGAACTGTTTGCAGTACAAATATATAACAATCAGATAATAAGTGATGAGAAACCAATTTGTACAAACCTGATTCTGGCGAGATTATTAGTGTGCATGTACTCTTCGATGTAATATGTCAACTTTGTTACGAATAAAACGGAACTCTTGGTAATGACTGGATTCAATCAAACTACCTGCAAAAACTAACATTTCACTTGTGTTTCAACATTTTTTTGTACGGTGAATCGTTTTCGAGATAAAGGGCGGAGAATTTCTATCAAACAGGCCAGAGATAATGCGGATGTACTCATTATTGAAACAGCAATTGAAGAATCAAAACCTGAAAAAACTGCAGGAGAAGATATTGATTTACTCGTCATTTTAATTAGGCGTACACTATCTCATCAACAAGGAATTCTGCAAAATATACTCTTCCAAAAGTTTTGATAAGTATCCTCGTTCAAAAAACATATTTTGTTTATGCACGCTTTAAGTGTCTGTGATACGGTTTCTACGCTTTTTAAAAAAGGAAAGGAAACGTTTTTAAAAGCATTTGAGAAACTGCCCGGTTCAAAGATTATTTGAAAATGAAAGTATATAATGATACAAAATGAGCAGACAGTATCGGTCATCTTCGTTATCCACAAAACTGAATAAATCTGTGCAATTATCAAATATTCCATCAACAAGTGCAGCGACTCACCAACATTTTAATCGTGTTTATTATCAAGTTCAAACTTGGTTAGAGCATGATTTGGAACCCTAGGAATTCGCATATTGCGCAAAAATTTTTGGAATCTATCACGACAATTTTAGCTCCTGCTCCAGAGGAATTGCTCAACAAAATATTCTGCAGCTGCAAGAGTGATTGTCGTTAGCAATGAGGATGCAGGAAATCGGGGTCGCAGTGCTCCAAGTTCAATGAGCAAGCTTGTCCCAATGCTTCACCATATCATAGCAATGTCAATGAAAACAGAACTTTCGACCCCAAGATCGTGAAGAAAAATGTCGTTGAAGACGACGGTAGCTAAAGCTGGTAATCAGAACTTCACAAAATCCACAATTCTATCACTAACACAAGTGGATTATTCAATTGCAACAACAGCCATAGAAGAAGTAAATCTACAAGCTGAACAATCTGGGTCCCACTCCAAAGTCGATTTTCTGGAAAAGACACCACCCACTATTCCCACAATGCCGGAAATTACTTTTCGACAGCGTCTAGTCAGGCGAATTTTGAAACAGCTCAATATCAACAAGGCGTCTGACTCTGATGCCCGTCATCATACTTAGAGAGTGCGCGAATGAACTCGCACTTTTGTGTATTTTGCAGAATTTTCAACTTCTCTTATGAGAGAGGGGTTTTTGCTTCTTGTTGGAGAATTGCTCGCCTTCAGCCTATTCCCAAAAAGGGCAAGAAAAATCTTCAAAATAACTGGAGACCAGTCGCTTTGCTATCAGTGATATAAAAAATCATGGAGAAAGTCGAAAACCACCATATCCTCAAATATTTGAAAGGCTTCAACATCTTGAGCGATCATCAATATGGCTTTCCGAAACAAAGATCAACAGGCGACCTATCGTATGTCAACCATATTTGGAATAACGCAATTGAGAAACATAGAGAATCAAGAGCTTTTGCGCTTGATATTTCTAAGGCCTTTGAACGTGTGTGGCATGAGGATCATTTTTGTGTATGGCTCTTCAGCTTTCTGAATGACCGTTCCCTGCAAGTATCCGTCGATGGATATCTCTCTAGTACTATTACCATCAACGCTGGTGTTTCCCAGGGATCCATATTGTCTCCAACCATCTTTTTATTGTATATCAACGACTTATTGGAAAAAACCAAGAATCCAATATATTGATTTGCTGACGACAGCACACTTGGCTCGTTATTCCATTTGGATTCCAGGACATCGGCTACAGAGGCACATCTTCACCGGCAGGAGGTTGCATATCTTCATGAGGATCTAGAAATTATTTCGAATTGGGGTGAAAGTAACCAGGTTCAATTGAATGCTACAAAAACTCAGGCATCGGTTTTCTCCAAGAAGATGAATGTCTTCGAACCGGATGTTATAAGGTCAGACAATTCCGCTTTATGCTTCGATAAGTTTGTTAGGGGTTAAAATGGACATCAATATGCTTTAGCACAATCATTTTGCTGGAATTGCAAAGGCTGCTTCTCAAAAGCTTGTTACACTGTTCCGAACCAGAAAACTGTACAAACCTCAGCAACTTTTGCTGCTTCATAAAGCTCAGATCAGACCGTCTTTGGAGTATTGTTCTCATGTATGGAGCTCTGCCCCCAAACATATCTTGAATTTGCTGGATTTCATTCAGAAGAGAACCATCCGCCTGATTGGAGACGCGAACATTACGTGCAACCTTAATAGCCTGGAACATCGAAGAAAGGTTGGAGATTTGTCTCTCTTCTATAGATACTTTCACGGGAGGTGTTCAAGTGACTTGGCACACCAAGAGCGGTACATATTAGAAATACGCGACGGACTGTGGCTGCTCATCGTTTTGAGGTTCAATATTTTTTAATAAAAATACTAATCGAGAATTTCTTTTTTCAATTCGTTCAAGAAACGAATAGTATAAATTACATTAGAATTGAAATATAATTTATGCTTTTTCCCCAACACGTACGTACGTAATTGAAAATAGATACAAGAGTAAAATAATGAATATAATGAAGTATTTCATAAGAAATAAAAATTATTTGTATTTATGTATTTATCAACGATTATTAAACTTTATATGGCGTGTTTCTGACCTTAAATGATGTTTTTACCGCTCGCTCTCCGCCCTCTGTCGAAGACGTATCAACTTATAAAAAATGTTGGACAAACTTTGTGAGAAATTTAATCCACTACAATATTGACAATGAATACAAATAGCGAAAAACCCATAGGAAACGAGATATTTGCAAAAATGTGTAAAAAATCAATTTTTGTGACCTTTGACCCTATATTTCAATAGTCTCGTATACCCTACCATACATAGATTTTCAAAATATACAGCCTCAATGTCTGAGGTGAATTTACTAAGACGATTGCACTATGATTCGAAGGCTAAAAACCGAAAAACTGGTTATGGATAACATGCAATAGTACTCTACTTCAGTATTCTTCACTAGCCGTAATCTATCGTGATCGTGGTTACCTTAGAGGTTATTTGTTACAAATTATGGATACTCGCCTCAAAATTGTATTTGATTATACCTATACATAATCTGCATGGAATCTTGAGAACTTGGATGAACACTGTGTCAGATTTATTTCTGAGTAGGTACTTATTCTCACCTGATGTGTTTTGGAATGTCGGTTGGAGATCCATATGGGTGAGGTGGTACACCCATACCAGGCATTTCCATCATCCAGCGCAATCGTGTTTTGCGCGGCCTCTTCATGAGTAACAGTGCTGGGAGGTAATTGAGAAACACAGATCGAATCCATGATGGCATCCTGTGGAAGGTCGTGAGAAAAACAAAAATATATTTCATGGATATTTGAGTATGTGTGATTGAAACAAATACATAAATTATACGTTGAAATAGAAGTACTTTTTTATTTGTTGATGGATGTCTTCAGTAATACAGAGAAAAATATAAATCTTTCCGATAACGAATCGAGAAGTTATAAAACCTAAATCACAACACTATCTTGTGAATATTAGAAAAATATTATAATAACAATAATAAATACCTCATTCAGATGACACAATTTTTGTTCATACTTTTAAACACGCCTAAGAAAGCTATTGTATAGCGAAACACGTGTGGCGTTTTTGTAAACTGTTCAGTGAAACTCTCTCAATAGAGTGTTACTTGAATATATACTGGTCTTACATATAATGAGTTGTGAAATGTAGTACCATTGACTCACATAGGCCTGTGAGGAAAAATCCTCAATGCATTCTGAACATATTCTATACTGACTTTAAACGACGCATTTAGTCAAGCTAGCGTAGAGATACGCAACATATGGAAATCAAGCGGAACACGACCAACTCTCGCCAAACGGTCATCTCCTGCTAAAACCACTGAAGCGGAGAGAGGGAAGAGAGGATAGGAGAAAGAACTCGAATGACCTATAAATAGTCATATCTCTGAGACCCGTTTGTCCTTTTGACAAACTCCGGTTGCAAGGGACTGTGGCTGCTCATCGTTTTCAGGTTCAACTTAGTACACCTCGAACTTTACTGTTCAAGAACTCTTTCATCTGTAGAACTGCGTTTATGTGGGATGAACTTCCTGATAACGTTTTTTCGAATGGATTTAATCTCCAGATTCAAATTCCATGTGAATCGGTACTTTCGCACAGGCACCGCTCTGAGAGCGCCTTAAGGATTTTCGTGTAGTGCTTGTGTTTTGTACTTGAAAACAATATCGAAAAATGTTTGTTTGTCATCATTTATTGCTTTTGATCAGCTTGGCCATATTCAAGAGAAAAAGAATGATACAGTTGGGGATAATCTGTTCACGTATGTAGTTTTGACAAATTGATTGATTTATTATTCATTTGATTTGATATGATTCAATTATTTCAATGAGTATATAATGATATATAGTAGTACTGGTACGGTGGCGTGGTGGGTTGACGTGGGTGGTTTACTCTACTCATTCAATAGACCGGACGATCAATTTTCACTTCCTATCGTCCAACACATGTAAGGAATCATACGTTGGAAGGTAAGACCTCGTTGGTCCTCAGTTCGCACAAGTTTCGACTTTTGAGAGTTGTCGTTTCGTAGGGGGGCGACAGCTGATGGTTAACGGAAAAACAGATTTCAACAGATTTTATTTTTCAACAGTTGTTGCCAGAAATATAGTGGATGAGGCTTTTGGCTGGAGGTTATAAACCACATTAGGGTGAAAGACCTCTAAAGTATAATATAAACAACAGGTAAGCCTGTTATATAGATCAGTATTTTAAACATTAGTTTTGATAGTCAGATTTATCCATATTTTAAAATATATCTCTTCAAATTCTAGGAAACGGCATTATCTACACTTATCTATATTAGTCGCGATTGTTTAAAGTAAAATTTTAGTATTCATGAAATTTTCAGTTTGTAATATTTTGCCATGTCAAGAACCTGCGTGATCATTTCACAATTCATTTTGCAGTTGACCTTTCGAAACTTCTGAAACAACTAGTAGGATGATGATGGCCTTTTGAACAGAAAATAACTCTCGAGAAAAACATTTTGGAATGGAGGTCACTAAAGCCTCCTTTAGCTGGACGAAAGAAGGCTGTAGGGTAGGTAATGGAAGAATTTGTATTTTAGTAGTATTTGCAAAACATAAGAGCAACACAATTCCATCCATAACATCGTTAGATCATCAGAACCAGTTGGTCTGATGATAGATACCGTATATAATTTTGAATAATTCCGAAGTCCAAAGTGGAAATTCCGTGGGCTTATTTTATTGTTGTTATACTAGCTCATAATGCAGTTTTTGTCGTAGCTTATTATACATATTCTATGAAAAATATGATTCATTTTGTACTCAAAATCGTCCGACTATCATCAAAGACAATATGATTTACCAAATTTTTCCAATGAGTGTCTTATTGTGACTTCCGAATCTACTCTTTCCCTTGTCTCTCAATGACATCATTGAAGTCATCTCTTGTTATCAAATTTCTGAAATTTTCCCCTTATTTATTGTCATCGTTCGTTTTCATTTGTCCTTCATTTGACCTTCTTGTTTTTCCAACGATACGAAATAATATATTGTATTTATCTCAGAGTAGTTGATCTATCATGAAGGTACTTTCTCATTGGTTTTGATTATGTTGCAATTGATTAGTACATTTCCCATAAAATCTGCAGATCACTGCCAACACAGACGAAAATAGATGTGACACAGTGATAATTAGTTTCTTCTGTTATTTCATTATATATTGTTGAGTTTTTCCAATGGGTCTTAAAATAATTGTATACACTGTACAATAATCAAACTTAACTTTATTTCACTGTTAATACAACCAAACACTTCAACTAAAACTTCAACTAATACTTCCCATATGCACGTGGGTAGTGATCATTATGAGTGCCCTTTCGAAATAATCACAGTTAACATTCTGGGAAGACTTCCTATGACCAGATCCGGTAACAAGTATTTTATGGTTGTGATGGATTATTTTTCTAAATGGCCCGAAGTGGTAGTTTCACCCAACCAACGGGCTGAAACGGTGGCAGAAGCCCTGTTGCAGAACGTAATTGCCAGACACGGAGTACCCCAGGAGGTACACTCGAATGACGACCTCAACTCAGAATCGGATTTATAGAAGAAAATGATGATTTTGTTGGATATGAAGAAGACAAGAGCAACTGCTCTTTACTCACATAAATAACAAACTACCTCTCGATGTTTGTCTTGGAAAGTCAAAGATACTGGGATAAATTGGTTCCTCTGTTTATGTTGGCATACAGGAGCTCTCGACATGATGTGACAGGTTACACACCATTTATGTCGAGAACTGGTCGAGAACTGAATCTTCAGATAGATGTAATGGTGTGGCAGTCCATCCCACCAAGAAGCAAGTCTAAAGTCGTCCATATACAGAGACTGAGTCCTTGCTTGAGCTGTGATATTCCCTCTCGGAATGTTGTTCGGGGTGAACAACCTCAGAAAAAGGGGTAGTGTTGTGAATCATCCCCTGAAAAAAAATATTGGCCGCCGCTAATCAATTGTGACGTGGCCGAGATTTCGCTCAACTCGACTGATACTACGCGATTTTTCTGGCTTTCGCGTCGTTTCGATAGACTTCTAGCGAATTCACTATCGGCTTTATGGTACTTCGACTACCATACAGTGTATTTCTTTAATGTCCCCCTCTTCAATTTTTTGAACAGGTCAACTAAAAAAATGGAAATTTGGGATAATGAAATTAATGCATAAATACTTTATTTCGAAGTGAAATTGACAGATGAAACTTTCAAGATGGCGCCTTTGCGCCATCTGGGAAAAAAATTAAATGAAAAAGGGGGTCTTCTGACACATCTTTTCAAAGCTCCTGACAAATGCTTCATAACCCTAGAATATAATGTCAATATCTTCAACTACTACAAAATGGCTGAACTTTTAATAATTGCCTGAATACATTGACATTTAACCACATAATATGAGGTTATTAGCTTGAGGTCAGTTCAGAAGATGCTCGAAATGGTTGTCTTGAACTTCTTCATATATGAACAGCGTAAACGATATTTCACGCCGAACATTTTCGAACACAGTAACGACAATATCTCTACAAATATTTACTATTCTCTGCCGTATATCCAATATTGAAGCAGGTTCAGTTTTGTACACCTTTTGCTTCAAACAGCCCCATGAAAAAAGTCCAAAGGTGTCAAATCTGGCGGGCGGGCTGGTCATTCTGTAGGACCTCGACGGTCAATCCAACAACAGGGAAAAGTAGTATCCAAATAGTCTCTTACTTGTCTGGAGTAATATGGTGGTGCTCCATCTTGTTGGAATACAATATTCATATCGAATTCATTAGGATTCGCTTCGAAGATTTCAGTGATGAGAGGGTCAACAGTAGTTTCCAGCATATTCAAATACATTTCCCCTGTTGAATTTTGATCAGTAAATATGGTTTCTCAATATTCCTGCCCAAATGTTAATTTTTTCTGGATATTGGGAAAACTTGAGGGTTGGTGTCACTTCCATAACGGCAAACAAAAAATAACTCAACACACCTTATCGGATTGATGGAATGGCCATATGGCAGATAAAAAGGAATATTTCTAGAAATATCGATATTAATGTGTTTGTCTTCAGGAAATTATTAAATGTTTCGCCATTTTGTAGGGTGAAGATATTAATTTCATATTCTAGGGTTGTGAAGTATTCGTCAGGAGCTTCAAAATGATCTGTCACAAGATCCCCTTTGAAATTGGTAATTTAGATCATTATCCTAAACTACCAAAAAATAAAAGGGGGGCATTAAAGAAATGCACTGTATATATATATAGTGCATTCAGTTCAGTTGTTGGTGGAAAAAGCAAGATAGTACCTCTCACGCATTCTCGCTAGAGTTTTATTTACTCTAAAATGCACTCCCGTGCGACCATCGTGAAGTATATTCGCGATGCAAGGATTATATAGTTTTTGTGGGTTTTTCCATCCGGGCTTTTACATTTCCGAGTGAGTAGGCCATCTTGAATGCATATGGAGTACCAATGGAGCATTTTCCTGCTGGCGATGATTGTCATGTTTGGTGGAAGTTCTTCCCCTGGTAACTGATGTTATTCAGAAAACCGTCAACAACTAGGCTGTTACTATTGCGTCCTATCGTGGACCCCGGGGGCTTGGCATGCAGCAGCCAATATACCCCCTATATTACTGGCTGAATTTATTTTTTCTGAACCCCGACGCTCTTGTTCGGGTGACCTCTTCTTTCGCCGGATGCTGAACGCGATCGACAGTCCTGCCTTAAATGTTCCTCCC